TTAATCCCAGCAGTCAGGAGGCTGAGACAGGCAGATCTCTGAGTTTGAGGCCAGCCTGGTCTGCAGAGGACTGCCAGGATGGCCAAGGCTACATAGAGAAACCCTGCCTCGAAAAAAAAGACACACACACACACACACACACACACACACACACACACAGAGAGTATCTCAGCGATCAGAGGCCAAGCTGTGATGGTGGGCTTTACAGGTGCATGGAGCGTGCAGATTGGGAAAACATGGCTGCAGTGGAAATGTGTTGCACTGGCTGCTGGCAATGCCATTGTGCCCAACAGTTGGTCTCATCTTGCCTCAGCCTACCCAGTGCGGGAATTACCCTCATTTTAGATAACTTTATTCTTTGGAACAGAGTTTAGCCAGTTAGCCCAGTCTGGCCTTGAATTTGTGATAGTCCTGCCTCTCCCTCTCAAAAGCTGAGATCGCAGGTATTGGCTGCCACACCTAGCTGGAGCACTTAACCGGAATAAGACCTTGCTTTTGGCTTCATGAGCCCCCAGATCAGAAAGGGGCATGGAAGTGCATCTTCAAGGCTGTAACCCCACGCTTGTAGCATGGAGGGGACACCTGCTCCATTGGTTCTTCTAACTCTGGGGTTCATTAGGTAGCCAAGAGTCACTTTCCAATGAATTCCAAGTACTGAGCACCCAAGGACCACATGGCATGACCGCAGAAGGAAGATGGCCTTCTTTAAGATTGAGGACTATGCGTTTGTTGCATATGGTGGTGCACACCTGTAATCCCAGCACCAGGAGGATGAGGAAGAAGCATGGAGAATTTGGGGACAGCCGGGGCTCCATCCTGACACCCCAGCCTCAAGTACGGGGACTAAAAGGAAATATTTAAAAAGATTCTGAAGCCAGGCAGTGGTGGTGCATGCCTTTAGTTCAGCACTAGGAATGCAGAGGCAGGCAGATCTGTGAGTTCGAGGCCAGCCTGGTCTACTGAGCTAGTTCCAAGGCAGCCTCCAAAGCCACAGAGAAACCCTGTCTCAAAAAAACAAAATAACAACAACAACAAAAAGATTCTGTGTCCGTTTGGGTTGGAATTGGACTCACAGGCAGCCCAGGGTAGCAGGGTTAGGGTGGAGTTCTGGATAGTGATCAGGGAGGGATTTATGGCAGCTATGGTCTTTGTGGCGTTTACCCCGCAAGGTAAGAAGAGAAACACAAGCCGGTGGTGGTGGTGCACGCCTTTAATCCCAGCACTAAGGAAGCAGAGGCCGGCAGATCTCTGAGTTCAAGGCCAGCCTGGTCTACAGAGTGAGTTCCAGAACAGCCAGAGCTGTTACACACACAATTGAGGCATGCACACCAGGAGGCCAGGGCAAATAAAAGGAGCCCAGATCTGGCTGTGATTAGAGGGCGCTGTACCAATGACGCCCTCCTCAGTTCCGACTGCCCACACTAGAGCCCACTATTTCTCCCTTCTTGCATTTCCCAGATGCCTTTGGGGTGCACGTGCTCCCTTCTCAGCTTGTCCTCAGAAAGACTGTTTGACTCTGTCCTTTGTACCCAGGCAGGGTGGGGGTAAGGGAGCGTTTGAGACTACCCCCCACCCCCCAAGGCCAGTCTCTGGTCAAACTAGATTCCTTGTCTTGCAAAACATCTATCTGACCCCCACCTCCATGCTGTCCTCTCCCTGAGATGTCCTCTTTGACCCAATCCCCACAGCCTTGCACAATCCCAGGGGAGAGGGTGTGTGTTTCTCAATATAATGCCCCCTAGAACTGTGCCTAGGAGCACACCTTCTCTGTTGAGCTCCCTGTCTGCACCCCTGGTTGGAGGTCCCCTTTCTCTTGGAAGTCTCCAGGGACTTTGTGCCCAGGTTGGCTTTTATGGGAATGGCTCCCTTGCCTTGCAAGAGTAAACATCAGTTTACAGGATAAATCATCTTCTGTAGCCTGTTAGGGTTTTTAATTCTTCTTTACCCAGTTCTGGCCAAGTAGGCTCAGTCCCAGGAAGAGGAGACAGGATTTTGTCACTACCACTACCCACAATTTTTTTTTTTTTGGTTTTTGAGACAGGGTTTCTCTGTGTAGCTTTGGAGGCTGTCTTGGCACTCGCTCTGGAGACCAGGCTGGCCTCGAACTCACAGAGATCCGCCTGCCTCTGCCTCCCGAGTGCTGGGATCAAAGGCGTGTGCCACCAACACTCAATTTTAAATTACATTTACTTATTGTATTTGTGCATCAGAGGACATATGTGTGTCCTATAACGTAGGTCTCAGGGATCAAAACCAGGTCCGTGGGGCTTAGCAGCAAGCACCTTTACCCACTGAACCCTCTCATCAGCCCTTCTGCGTCTCTTGCCCTGGCCCAAAGTGCCTCACCTCTAAACCCCGAGGCACTCTGGCTGGGTGGGGAAATCAATCACTTGAGAGGGAAATGAAGACAGTAGGTGATCTGGCTCTGAGTCCCCAACCCTCACCCCCGCAGATCCTCATTTCCCCACACCGACTTCCTCTGGCTAATGGTAGGAAAGTTGCTGTTGAGGCAAAGTACAGGTGCTGCCACGTTAATGACAATAATAGCCATGATGACAGTGATAAAATTGAGAGGGTAAAAGCAGCACTAATTACGACAGGGTTTCTCTTGGACGTTCTCAGGCATTATCCTCAGATCGGGCTCTCCATTTTCTTATCTCACGGGAGCCCAATATGAGTCTTGGGGACCCTCGCCTTCAGCTCCGAACCCTAGCTAGGCTTGGCTGCTTGTTTCTCCTAGTGTCCCCACCCGGTGAGCACCCAGGTGCTTTTGGCTGGTGACTCAGTGTCTGTCTCTCGACTGACCTTAGCACGAGCCTGGGGAGCTGGGGGAGATGATAGTTTCCTGTGATACCAGCAAGTGACTCAGGGGCCCAGAATTGGGGCCTCAGAACGCCTTTGTTGGCCTAGGTTCAGGAATCCAGAGAAACTGGTCAGGAGGGAGGCCTGGGGACTGAAACCCCTCCCTCTGCCTCCGCCCCTCCTCCACCGTGCTTTAACTGCTGCACCTGCGGCCTCCTGTCCTGGTTGCAGGTGCGGGCAGGAAGGCGCTTGGTAGCTGGTGTACCCGACTCAGCTTCTCCGGCTTGCTTCGTGTCCCTGAGGCTCACCAGAAAAAGCTTTGCCAGCCCTCGGACTTCTATAGCTGCCAGAGAGAGAGAGATACTTTTTTGTGGTCTCCAACCTTGAACCCTGCAGAGACTGAGCCATGGCGTCCATGGGACTACAAGTGCTGGGAATCGCCTTGGCGGTCCTGGGCTGGCTGGGCGCTATTCTGAGCTGTGCGCTCCCCATGTGGCGGGTGACCGCCTTCATCGGCAGCAACATCGTCACGGCGCAGACCAGCTGGGAGGGCCTGTGGATGAACTGCGTGGTGCAGAGCACCGGCCAGATGCAGTGCAAGGTGTACGACTCGCTGCTGGCCCTGCCGCAGGACCTGCAGGCCGCCCGAGCCCTCATGGTCGTCTGCATCCTCGTGGCAGCGGTGGGGATGCTTCTCTCAGTGGTAGGGGGCAAGTGCACCAACTGCATGGAAGACGAGACCACCAAGGCCAAGACCATGATCGGAGCCGGCGCGGTGTTCATCGTGGCAGCCTTGCTGGCTATGGTGCCTATATCTTGGACCGCACACAACGTCATCCGCGACTTCTACAATCCGCTGGTAGTTGCCGGGCAGAAAAGGGAGATGGGAGCTTCGCTTTACATCGGCTGGGCAGCCTCCGGGCTGCTGCTCCTGGGAGGAGGCCTGCTCTGTTGCAGCTGCCCACCTCGTAGCAACGACAAGCCCTACTCCGCTAAGTACTCCGCCGCCCGCTCTGCTCCCGCCAGCAACTATGTGTAAGGTGGGCCACTCTGCTATGTCCCCATTGCCTTTGTTATTTTTTTTTTTTACCTCGGATTGAGTTCACAATAGCCTGTGATATCCTCACTTCCCTCGGGACCTGCCCTGCTATGGGCCACTAGTTGCTGGGGACAGCAAGCCCGGATTGTGCTAAGTTACTGGCTAAAGTAGCCCTTGGGAGCCATCTGCCTCGCTTGGACACGTCTCAAGGCTCCTTACTCCGGCAAGGATGAATGTAAAAGTATTTCCTTGCTGCCCCCGTTCAAATTGCTCATGGATGCAGGGCTGAAGGCAGAAGCTGCTGGGTACCGCAGTGGAGCGGGGAGCTGGGTCCTGCTGGCCGGGATAGCTCAGCTGTGACTTTGGGCCCCCCAGTGGGTGTCCTGCTCATGCTAGCACCTGCACTGACCCTTTTCTATCCTCACTCTCTCTGCCCACACCTGTTACTCCGGCGCTACTCTTGCCATTGTGCCCCATGTTTCTGAGCACACCTGGCCCTACCTGGAGCCTTGGTGTGACCAAGATGACTGTGACTGAGGGGACTTGAGAGCCGGATGGATTCTGCCGTGGAACCCCAGTGACTGACAATGACTGGGCATTACCCACCCACCTACCCTCCAAATAGAGTTGTGTGGAGTGGATGGACGGGTTTGAGGGAAGGGCGGAGGTGGATTAAACTGGTTTGGGGAGTGCTGGTGCTGGGGACCTAGAAGCAGCCCAGGCTGTCCCCACCCCTTTCTGGTACTGTCTTGCTAAATGTCCCGCTCTCTGCACCCCCCCCCCCAAGACCCTGGGCCTCTTGAGCCGCCCCTCTGAACTCCCTACCCTTGTAAATTTCAAGGACGCTGGCCAGTCTGCGAAAGGTATGGGGGCAATGGCGTTGCAAGAGGGAGTCTCCCGGGACTCCCCTGCCTTCTCTGTGGTTTCTTGTTTTGTAATTTAAGAACTATTCACAGCTGTAATTATTATTTTCTACAATAAATGGTTCCCGTGTACAGGAAAGGTTTGGGCTGTTCTCTGTATCTGTGGATGGGACAGGGCTGGAGGGCTGGCTGGTGGTCCCAGGGGGACCTTGATGTTGTAAGAAGTTGAAGTGATTTCAAGAGCTGAGGTTGCAGTTCAGCTAATAGCGTGCCTGGAATGCCAGAAACCCCAGGTTCCATACTTAGCCCCAAGTAAACCAAGTGCAGAAGCAAGAGGATTAGAACTTGAAGGTCATCTCCCACTACATAGTAGGTTCAAGGCTAGCCAGGTCTACTTGACCCTGTCTCAAGAGTGATTTCAGCCGGCATTGGTGGTGCACGCCTTTAATCCCAGCACTGGAGGCAGAGGCAGGGGGATCTCTGTGATTTCAGAGCTAGCCTGGTCTACAGAGCAAGTTCCAGGACAGGGTCCAAAGCAATACAGAGAAACCCTGTCTTGAAAAACCAAAAAAAGAGTGACTTCAGAGGATTGTAAGAATCAGAACTAACTCTGTCTAACCTGAATGACCACCATGTTTGAGCCTTTTGTTTGCATTTTCATTTTTGAGACAGGGTCACAGTATATAGCCCACACTTACCATCAAAATTAAGGCTATCCCCTTGTCTCAATCTCCAGTGCACTACCATGATGGCAAGCTCTTCATTTGTTAGACAGGAAACCCTGTATCTAGGGCCCATTGTATGTCCAGGACTGAGGTGGGGGGGATAGAGCTGGGACATCAGGAGGGACAACAGACAGGAGCAACTAGGTCTGAGGCTAAGTCACCAACCTCTTCTACTTTTGTCTACCTTTCTCTGAGCAGCCAGGGTGGCTTGCTTATCCATAGGCCACCATGCAGGTGCCACCATCCTGCGTTTGTTGTCCCTTCCCTAAGCTTGGAATGTCCTTTCCCCCACTCCTGACCCTTTCTGGTCTTGCAGGTCCGGTCTGTAGCCTCCTCTCTAGAGAGTCCTCCCACAGCCCTGGAATGTCTTAAACCCACACCCGAACCACCACAGGGCATTCTGGGCCTCACCTGGACTTTCCCATTCCAGTCCCTTCGGCTTTTTATTGTTTTGAGACCAGGTTTTAATGTAGTCCAGGCTGGCCTCCAGCTATGTAGCTGAGGATGACCTTGAACTTCTTTCCGATCTCTGTGAGTTCGAAGCCAACCTGGTCTGTATAGAGAGCTGCCGGCCTGCCAAGGCTACATAGTGAGACCCTGTTTAAAAACAAAAACAAACAAAAAACCCAAGCAGCAAAACAAAACCAACAACCCTTCTTCCAAGGAGTAGAGATATACCTTCCTGGATAGAGGGCTAGCCTAGCATACCTGAGGTTTTGGGTTCAAGGCCAGCACTGCCTGAAATGAAGTGGTGCAGGTACACAAGCCTAGAAAGTAAGCCTAGATGTTTAGTGGTGACTGCCGGAGGATCAGGACTTTAGGCTCTTGCTAGGCCTCAACCAGTTAAAGGTTCACCAGGCCTATGTTTATAACAAAAGAGTTGTTACACCCTTTTTCTTTCTTGAGCCTGTGAGATGGCTCCACAGGTAATGGTGCTTGCAGCCAAGTCTGATGACTTAAATTGCATTCCAAAGCCCATATAATTCTAGAAGTTGTCCTCTGACCTCTATAAGCATGTATAGCATGGCACATGAACACATCCATTTATACATATACTGTAAGAAATATATAAATGAAAACCGGTCAGTGGTGGCGCACGAGGCAGGCAGAGGCAAGCGGATCTCTGTGAGTTTGAGACCGGCCTGGTCTACAAGAGCGAGTTCTAGGACAGCCTCCAAAGCCACAGAGAAACCCTGTCTCGAAACCCGCCCCTCCAAAGAAATATATAAATGAAAAAAAGGTTGAAAAATATTAGACTTTTTTTTCTATTGTTCATTTTCTCCCCTGTGCTAGAGGTAGAATCCAGGGCTTCTAAGCAACTATACCATTGCTGAAGCAAACCTTTATCCCCTCACTGGGGGTTCTAGCAAGCACTCTACATCTCTAGATCGTTTTAAAAAATTTATTTATTTTTATTTTATATGCATTGGTGTTTTGTCAGATCCCCTGGAAGTGTAGCTATAGACATTTGGAGCTGCCATGTGGGTGCTGGGAATTGAACCGAGTTGTCTGTAAGAGTGTCCTTTGGAAGGGCAGTCAGTGTTCTGAACCGAAAAGCTACTTCTCCAGCCCTTCTAGAACTTTATTTATTTATTTGTTTGTTTGTTTTTTACTTTTTGAAATACAGTGCCACCAAATGGTCCAGTTTGGCTTAGATTTCACTATGTAGCCCAGGCAAGACTTGGACTTCTGCCTCAGTTTCTCAGGTGGCTGGGGTCTGTACAACCAGGCCAACCTAGTCATAGCTCTTTGTCCCAGGCTGGCCTAAAATACTTAGCTTCCTGCACTAACTTCCCATGTGACTCAGGAAAGCCAAATCCATGTCGTCATCCACGCCCCCGCCCCCAATCCCTTTAGCTTAACCACACATAACATGGGGGACATGACAATTGTTTATTTTGCTCTCTTCTACCTGGGTTTGAATGTAGCCTTGTCTAGCTCAAACTGGTTGAAGCCACTAAGTTCTTTGCTTGGGGTTATACAAGTGTCCATTGAAAGTTATTTTGACATCATGGGGCCCCAGACTACAATCTCAAATCAGGCTAAACCACAATTTTCTACATATGCTTCTCCAGTCACCTTCTCCCACAAATCACATCACCCATTTCTTTGTTTTCAAATCATTTTTTTTACATTTATTTATTTTCTATTGTGTCTCTCTCTCTCTCTCTCT